ATGTATTCATATTATTATTGTTCGTCTTATTCTTATTATCATTTACTATTATGATTTTTGTTGGTACTGGTACCGTTGTCGTTGTTGTTGTTGTTGTTGTTGTTGTTGTTGTTGTTGTTGTTGTTGTTGTTATGGTTGTTGTTGTTGTTGTTGTTGTTGTTGTTGTTGTGGTTGTTGTGGTTGTCGTTGTTGTTGCTGCTGTTGCTGTTGTTGCTGCTGCTGTTGTAGTTGTTGTTGGTGATGTTGTTGTTGGTGATGCTGTTGTTGGTGATGTTGTTGTTGCAACTGTTGTTGTTGTTGCTGTTGTTGTTGTTGTTGTTGTTGTTGTTGTTGTTGTCGGTGGTGGTGGTAGTGGTGGTGGTGGTGGTGGTGGTGGTGGTGGTGGTGGTGGTGGTGGTGCTGCTGCTGTTGTTGTTGGAGGTGGTGTTGCTGTTGGTTGTTGCTGCTGTTGTTGGTGGTGGATGTTGGTGGTGTTGTTGTTGCTGTCGTCGTTTTCGTTGTTGTCGGTACCGTTGTTGTTATTGGTATTATTCTTCTTCTTGCTGCTAGTATTACTGTTATTGTTATCGATGCTGCTGTTGCTATTGTTGTTGCTGCTATGTTTATTGTTATCATTACTGTTCTTGTTATTGGTGTTCTGATTGTTATTGGCATTGTTGTGGCTTTTTCATGTTGAGATCTGTTCCCGAGGCTCGTTTCCGGCGGAGGAGCACAGGTGGAAATTACGATTGAGCCGAGACTTGGTCACGTTCCGACATCATGTTCCGGTTGGGGAGCCTTCTGGTCTTTCTGGCCCTAAACCCTAAACCCTAAACCCCTAAACCCTAAACCCTAAACACAAGAAGCTCTTTGCCTGCAGATCTCTAGCGATGAGGAAGGGGGATTGATGCTGAGGGTTTAGGCCTTTGAGCCCACGGGGCTGGGGATGGAGATTCATCCTTCACCAGCGGTGGTCTTGGGGGCCTTTCCATGACGTGACGCCCCAAAACTCGGAAAAAGCAGAGATGCAGCGAACCTGCCCTCCGAATATGAAGCCTCTCAAGCTCCCGATGCAGGGAGGGCCCAAGTGCCTCCTTCCACGAGGCGGCCCGGACACCTGGAAAGTCTTTCGAGCTGGAATGCCTCTCTTCAGGGTTTAGGGTCAGCTCTCGATGAGCGGTGGGACTGCCGGAGCTGAGGAACCCGCGCATTTCCTCAAAGTCCGATGCACAGTTGACCTGCCAGTCTGCGCTGGGTGCAAAGTGTGTAAAGACCTGCAAGCCAGGTTCCTGCTTCCGACTGCAACGAAGCATAAGTTTGAAACAATGGAACGTTTTATTAGCCAAGTCTGTCCCTCCATAAACATATGGCGACCTGGCCTGTGATGCCTGAACATCTTTGACTTGCATGCGCTGCACGTTCTGAGCATCCGTAAGGCACCAGCGATCCGCTCTGCAATGTCAAAGTGATCGTGCTCCCTTTCCGGATCGGAAGGCGAAGATGCTCCCCGGCAGCTTCAAAATTACGGTTTCAAGTCAAAGACTATGATGTGCTCCGAGCTGAGACCCCCGCATGCAGATCTGAGCTTGCTCTTGGAGCTGCTGCACCTGCCTGTCATGAAAGAATTTTCCAGCACTGCTCGTATTATCATAAATATTATCAATATTATTATTATTAATATTATTCATATATTATTATTATGGGGCATGTGTCGAGGAGTGGCACACAGGCCGGCGATGCGTCTCCACTTCGCTGAGCAGAGTGTCCACCCAAGGGACCATGTCCTCGCCTCAAGACCCCGTAACTCAACATTTAGTAACTTTTAAGAATAGCCATCATAATTTACTAATAATAATAATATGTTAACAACAATAATATTGATAATATTGATAATAATAATAATAATAATAATAATAATAGCAGTGCTGGAGCAGCCCCTGGCGCAGCGGCGGGGTAGGCTGAGCTGCTGGCTGGGCTCGTTGTCGAGGGCTTCCTGGTGCCAGCGGCAAGTGAACAATCTGGCGCTTGCTTCCTGCTTGGAGGTTCATGTGTAGTTCTAAGTGGAGTTAGAAGTCCCCTAATATGGGTTCTAATAGTTATAATTACAGTTACCCTACTTATAACCCAACTTATAACTACCCATGAACCTCCAAGTGCCATCTTGGCACTGGCGTACCTGCAAGGGCTTCATCAAGTCCGCCTGGAGATGCTGCAAGTTTCGAGTCACCTCAATACAGCGCAATCCACAATAACGATTGGGTCCGTGAAAGCCAATGCGAAAACAGAGCGAGATCGTGCTCTGCAACTGCACCACAGCTCTCTCATCAAACGCTCGAAAGCCCAGGAGAAAGGATCTGGGAGGCGAGGCCCCGGACCTCGCGGATCTCGTCACGGGCAGCGGCCGGAGTGGGCGCGGCATCCTTCCCGGCTCTGACCCTCTGAGATGAGCTGCCACCTCTTGACGCCACCGGGACACTGGGACCCTGGCACTGCCAAACCTGCCCACATTCAGGCTGGAATCTCGCGGAGGGCCGGACTCCCGGGGTGCGCCTGCTGCACATCCCCACAGCACAGTACAGATATCCATCAAAGCGGGCCTTGTCGCGATGGTGTCGACGGTTTGCGCTCTTTCCGACGCCCGGGCGCAAACAATGGCATGACGGAGGGCACTACAAAAGATCAAGAAACGCTAGACTTTTGCACTCCGTGGTGCTTGGTCAGGCCATCTGGAACCCTTTGGGCCAGTCCCTGCCAATTGTGAAGCCTTCCTCTCTGACCTTTCATGGAGTGGAGGACTTACGGCCGTTCGAAGGTGGGCTGGGTGGAGCTGTCGGCACGAGCTGCAACGTGGAGAGACATCTTGAGCAGAAGCGATTCAGCAAAAACATGTGAAAAAGCAAGCACGAGTGCGCTGCGATGTTGAGCGACAGGATGGATCCGTTGCCAAAACTCTGGTAATGGAGCAACAGCAATATGCATCTACCGGTGCATGGGCTGATCTGACCAGCCTTGTTTGCGATCAGAAGCAGACCATCCTTCCTTTGCAAGCTTGTTCTACTCCACGGACCGCGTGCAAGAAACAGCCATACACATCCAGCATGGTCCCGTACAATCCTCCCGTGCCCTGAGGATGCCTCAGGAAGGTAGCCGCACCTCGCAGAAACCTGGCGGCACGCGGATGCTCCCAGTACTGCAACAACAAGAAGTTGAATTGGTAGAAAAGCAGCTAGGACTACAAACTTAGGCAGCTGGACTCGACCAGCATGGCGCGGTTTGCGATCTGCACGTCTGCGCTCGATGCCCGGGGCTGACAGAGCGCATGTGGTTCCAAGCACCGGCAATGCATCAACAGAGATGTGTCCGAGTTCGCCATCCCGCCTTGTGCACCTTCGTCGGCAGAAGTGGGAAGTTGAAGACGATGCGCTGGCAGAAGTTTCAGTCGCTGCCATCTGTCCACTCTAGTGCGACTTGGTGAGTTGGGGGCCCCACTTCAAAGGGCTCTTCGTCCACCAGTGGTCCTTTCAGCAGCTCCGTTGCGTCCACGCCGCAAATCACCTCTCCGGATGGAATTCACCCCTTCTTCCAGCCCTTGCACTGGACCTGAACAAGTTTCCGCCTGATGAAAGGTGCACCCTGATATGATCAAATCATATAATTTTACTTTACTTGTATATAACAAACTACAAGATGCTACGCTGTAACATAACATATGATGCTCCTTTCAAGGGCCTTGGCGCCGTCACCACGCAGGCGCGCCAGGCGCTGGTCTGCATCTGGCAACGGGAAATCCGGGGGTTTGGGAAGGCCCGGGGGCGGTTATGGCTCAAGAAACTTTCTCTGTGAAGCTCACTGCGATCTGTGATAACAAATGATCCTGCCAGCCTGCGTACTGGCTCCTGATGTCCTCCTGCCAGGCACCCAGTGCTTGCAGAATATGAGAAAATCCATCTGCATTTCGACAGACGTCAAAGAGACAAGCCCTCACACCCTGGAAACGAATAAACCTCCGTCCCAGCCTCGGGCTCCAGACAGGTCACCACCAGCTCCGGGGCACTGCCAGTGCAGCTCCGGGAAGCGGACAGCCCCTGGTAGCGATGGCTTGGATAAACACTAATAAGAGCAGCGCCACCCATAATGATCATCATCATGGTCATAATCATGAACTACAGTTGCTTTGCGGAATTCCGGCTGAAAACAATCGAAATCAAGACCACAAGACATCCGAGCCTCGGAAAAGGCAAAATCACCCTCGCCCACCGCCAAAGTCCGACAGCCACCGGGAAGGAGCCTGATCTCGGATCTTCGATGGTGGCAAAAACTATCAATAATGAGAACAACAACACCCAAACCATCAATGATGATCATCATCACCACCATCATGTACGACCGGAGTAGTCATAGTCATAGTAACACTAGTAGCAATGGTAATGGTAGTAGGAATAACAGCACTCGTAGTTATAGTAATAAGGGTCGCGATAACGACAGTGATATTAATAGTGCTAGTGATAATGATAGTAATGATACTACTATTCGTACTCGTAATAGTAATCGTAGTCGTAATCGCAAGTGTAATTGCAATAGTAATAGTAAGACTACGAGTAAGAGTAAAAATGATAGTAACAGTAGTAGTAGTCGTAATCGTAATCGAAAGAGTAAGAGTAATAGTAGCTAAGAATAGTGATGAAAATAACAAGAACAATAATAACAACAGTAATAGTATCTAGCAGCAGTAATCGAAAAGCATTGTACTAGTACTCGTAGTATAGTAACATAGTAGCATAGCAACATAGTAGGATAGTAACATAGAGTACAGAGAATATAGGAATATAGCAACATAGTAGTATATTAGTGATACTTGTTCGTAACATGAAACGTTAAGAAACAGATGATACCAGCAATTACAAGGCCCAGAGCCTGAAACAGCATGCTTGAGCGTCGCATTAATGCTCTTCTGGGCTTTAGTGACGAATTCCTTGCAACCACTGCAAGTGATATTGCCGCTAGCGAGAATGATCCTACTGACATACCAGATCAAGGAGTTGCATCGCCACCCTAGCATGGGGAAACGTTGCCACTGCCCCGATGCTGGCGAATATGAGCCACGAGCTGGAGCTTTGGCACGCTGCAGGCTGCGCTTTCTCCTGCGACAACTGTTCCCGCAGTAACGTCGCCGACTCGGGCCAATTCACAGAGGCCGAATGATGCTATGATCCCTATCTCACCACGAGCAGGCTCAACTAGGTCGGTGTTTGCAGTCTTGCTGCTGGAAGGGAGGGCACACTCCACTCGAAAATGAGCACCACCTAGCTGGCTGGTAACAAACCCTAGGCCGAATTCAGAAGGACTGTCTCGGCCGAACTGTCTTTGCAGTTTAAAGCTGCGTAGCAGCGTACATATGCGTTGCATCTCGGAGGATCGCAATTCGCAACCCGACCCAAGACCAAGCATGAAAATCGTGTCGCCAGCTTAAACAGGCAGGAAACACAAGGATGTGACCCTGTCGTACCTGGTGGGTTTCTCGCGATCCTGGCCGACACCAAAGCATCCAACCTCCTGGTGCGAACTAAGATCCCAGAGACAGATGGCTCCGGTCATGGAACCCGTGGCCAGGGTCTGGCCATTTCCTGAAAACGACAGCGTTAGCACCTCAGCATCTTGCTTGTAGGAAGCTATGCGCCCCTGTGATGTATCTGCGGTCCAGACGTGAGAAGTGAAGTCATCCGATGCCGATGCCAACAACTTCCCATCCGGAGAGAAGGTGACTGCATTGACCAGATCTGTGTGGCCACTGTAGCAGCGCAGACTGGTACCAGTACGCGTGTCCCACACCTTGGCCTTCTTGTCAACTGCACCAGTGGCTAGGTAGAAGCCATCCGGTGAGAAGGCCACGGAATAGACTCTACCTGAATGCCCGTCTCCGCGTCGCCCGTCCCAATGCTGCGTCATCTTGCCAGACGCACGGTCCCACACCGCAAAGCTGTAGTCGTCGGAGCCTGTTGCAAAGACCCGCCCGTCCGGAGACACGGCGGCTGAGTTCACGTCACGCATGTGCCCTCTCAGACACAAGAGCTCCTGTTCGGAAGCGAGGTCCCAGAGCCGTGCAGTAGCATCCCCAGACGCTGAGAGCAGCGCAGAGCCAGCCGGGCAGAAGTCGACCGAGTACACCTGGCCCATGTGCCCTTGCAGCTGACAACTTGTCTCCGTGGCGCCGAAGCGCCAGAGGCTGATAGAGCGGTCGCTGCAACCCGATGCGAAGATGCCCGGTTCGGGAGATGCTGCCACACCGTTCAGCTCAGCACTGTGCTGGAACCGCTGTACCTGCACAAATCCTACTTTGGTGCTGCATGTAACCGTGTGTGAGCAACTTGTCTTCGGCATCCAAGCTCTCAACTTCTGTGTAAACCAGCCTTTTTCGGCGAGAAAGCCCTGAATCCGAGCACCCTTGCACCCCACATCCTCTGCGGGGCCTCCGAGCGCTCTTCCAGTTCCCAGAGACGAGCCGTGCCGTCTTGGGATCCTGCGCACATCCGGGCACCTCTCTGCTGACCGCTCAGATGGGCCGCACCTCTTGACAGAAACATGTCAGCCCTAAGGAGTAAGGCGCCTTACAGTGCTCAGTCCTGAGAGCATCTGCAGGGATCGGACAGAGATCACCTGCACTTCGCAGCCATCCCTGGCCAAGCTGTGGGCTTCTCTTGGGGTGCTTCCTTCCTGTGAACTTGAGTACTTGAGGTGTGGCCTTAGCCCAGAATCGGCCAGGCTCGATTGTCCCTGAAGCTCCACACCGTCGGAAAAGAGCTTCACCTTACGACGGTGTGAAAAGCGTTGCGGCTTGAAGTCACTGTGCAAGGCTATTGCATGCTATTGCTCACCACATGATCTATTCAGCCGAGTTCACGGTGGCGGAGACCCCTGGCAGGTTTGCAATGAGGCGCCTGAGCATTAGATTTGTTGGTAGCTCGCCAGCTGCACGTGCTGTACGAGCGCAAAAACACACCCCTGGCGCAAGGAACACTACGATTGCCAACAGTTTGAGCCCTGTGATAACGTGTCGGTCCTGATGCTGTTCGATGTGTGTCTGGACTGGCAAAATGCACGGGACTTGAACGACGGCCTGTCACCAACCAACAATGCTCAGAAACTTGGAGCGTAGGGTTGGGGAGCTTGCTTGAGCAGGCTCGCCCCAAAAAAGAGAGGAGACCGACTACCCCCTAGCCCCTAGCCCCTAGCCCCTAGCCCCCCTAGTCCCCTTTCAAGAAGGGAAGCCTCCAAGTCTCTAAGGCCGAGGCACCTCAGCTCCCTGAGGCTCCCGTCCTGCGGCAGCGTCACCGTTCCCAGAGACTCGCCCGACAAAGCGCCAACGGCCTCAGAGTCGGAGCCCAACAAAACGCCGCTCGAAGGTTTAGGGTTAGGGTCTCGGGTTTAGGGTTTAGGGTTTAAGGCAGGCAGGGCTCACCACAGGGCTTTTGCAAGACGTCGAGGCTTCTCTTCGCAAGCGCTGCGCGTTGGACGACGGGGTTCTCGCATGCACAGCCACGACACTGTGGCTAGAATGTTGTCTTCAGAGGCACATTTTTCAAGGGCTCTGCTGTTTGCGCACTTCTGTTTGCAACCAACCGGTACGGAGTACCAACGCGCAGGCGCGAGACATGCAGAATCGTGTCACCACTCGATGAATCTGCAGTGTCGGCTTAAGTGTTTTCTGAAGACGTCAACTGGAAACCTGGCTTGAAGTCCAGAAGCCGGTGCGTCATTGCACTGTCTAAGCCAAGTCCACTGCATTTCCGCAGTTTCTGTCGCATCCCTTCTACCCAGATGGCGCATGCTTGCACGGAGGATGCTGATATTGCTCGCACACTCAGAAAATGCCAAAACTGCGATTCATGGGGATAAATGAAAAAGAGACAGACAGAGAGAGGTATTGAAAGAGAGAAAGAGTGCAATTGAGAAAGACGGCATGAGAGAAAGACAGAGCGCAGCAGAGGCACGGAGCGACCGAGAAGTCATAACAACCTGAACGAGGCACTGGGCTCCGAATGCTCCGAAAGAGTCATGGCTCCACACGAGCCAGGGAGGCAAACAGAGCAGGCAGGCCTCCGAGCCAAGCACCAACCCGATCTAGGAGCTTGTCAAAAGATTGCGCTACTGCTGACGCAAATGCAGGTTGCACATCGCGCACAGCACGAAAAGAACGGCACTGACAACGATACGTGGCGTTGCACCGTCATGCTAGCACGAGACTGGTCGAGTCCCCCTGAGCCCACGCCGGACACTCGAACACAGTAGAAAAATAGTAGAAACATCGGGCACGGGGACTTACCTGCGTTGTCTATCGAGGCTGACACCTCCACTTGCCAGCCAGCCATGGGCTCGTCAGGGAAAAGGGCGCATGGCTTCTCAGGCTCTCTCTTTCACCCCTCTTGATCCCTAGGCATACTGCCTACTCTGCAGTCTTAGGCCAGGCCAGACCTCCAACAAAAAAGTGCCGTTGAAGGAGATGCTTGGAGGTTCATGGGTAGTTATAAGTCGAGTTATAAGTCCCCTAATATGGGTTACAATTACAGTTACCTTACTTATAACCCAACTTATAACTACCCATGAACCTCTAAGTGTTGAATGCGACGCTTGGCGTCTGTTCAGGGTTCATAGCTGCGGAGAAATGTCAGAAGCCTGAAGACAAGACAGAAACCTCAACTGAGAACACGGTGAAGGCGCACCCTTCTGGCCAGCACACAGCTCTCCTGTCCCAAAAAGGTTGGTCAACAACTGGAACTGATCGAGGTCCTGAGGCGGTTCTCCTTGCAGCCAGGGTCTTACAGCTGTGTAATTACCTCTGCCAGGGCATAGCACACTTGGGGCCTGCCGTCTTCACTTCATGGCTCATGGCACTCGGCACACGCTGAGTCCCATCGCTTTCTGCAACAATCTCGGAAAGCTGTCGTTTTGCTGTTACGACTGTCTGCCACAGTTGCTGGAGCACACTTTGGTGCTGACGCTTTCGCAGATGCAGCAAGCGGCGTCCGAGTAAATCAAACACAGCCCGGAACAATGCCCCAAGCCTACAATCCCAGAGCAGTCCCACCCTCCGCAAAGCCGCATGGAAAGCCGCGCTTTTCGCCGTTCTCTGAAGTCCGAGGATAGCCCATGCACCCTTCGGGCCTGCCAAGATGCAACGGCCAAGGGCAAACCCTCGGACCCGAGTCTTTCACGGGCCGTAGGACGGTCAAAGAAGAGGCTAAGATCCAGCAACATCCAACACGTTAGGGCCATTGGGAACCCACTTCACCTTTCGCCATCTTCGGGCTTTGAATTGGGCCCCTGAAACACATCTCGTCCGGCCCTGTGATCCTGAATCCCGAATCCCGGCATTGTCGGTATCAGGCTGTGCGAGAGAATGCGCCCCGAGCAGCTACTGCGTGCAACAATCTTGTGCTTCTCATTGCTTCTCCTGTGACACGCAAAGGCTTTACTGCCCCAGGTGTAATCAGAAAGCTAAGCAGCAGGTACAGCAGCTGATGCCGGGTGCAGGGTCGTGCAGCCTGTATACCCACTCTTAGCATTATGTAAGGTGGGTCTAAGCGGCTGCACTGGCAGTTTGCCATGCAATGCTCGGAGGGGCAGGGTCGCGGCCGCACGTGTGCACTCTGAAAGCATGTTGAACTCTCAGCCCAACTGTCAAAGAACCAGCAGGTACTAGCCTATTCACAATCGACTCCTCGCAGAGCATGGTTGCCAGTTGTCCGCTGCTTTTTCAGGGCAGTGAAACGAAGAAGGGACTGCTCTTTGAAGGGAGCTTTCACGATGCATCTCGACACTGCATCGAATTAATTTCTCGCGAAAACTCCGACCATGATGTGCCTCCTTCCCTAGCTGATTTGTGCATAAAATTGGCGCTTCTCGGTGGCGAAAAATCTTGGCACACTCAGACGTCTGGATCTGGCAAAGTGAATCGTCAAATAGGCACCGAATGTTCTGTGACTGAAATTTGGCATGTATGCTGACACCACATCATCAATGAATCAAGATGTGTATCTTGCTCTAATCCCGTCCTGACACAGCCATCTGATCTACAGGTCCAGCAGGTCAACATTGCCCTTTGAGGGATTGGTCGGTGCAGCAGAGCTGGAAGCATTCTTGGCACCTTACTGCACTTGCAAGTGTCCGAGAGCGATGCTTTCCCGATCCAGGTGCCCCACCACTCGCTGAAGGAAGCGCAGGTGACTGTGCCTTCCGGAAAGCCACTGCCTTCTTTGGGCCATCGCCTCCGTCCTGGCTAAAGAGCAAAGACATCGACTCAAGCTTTGAGCACTGACTGTTCTGTAGCGTTCCACAACTCTCTGCCAGGCTGCGCTATCGCTGTCGGTATCGTCGTTGTGCCCAACTGCCACCACTCCATTTAAAATCATCTGGCCTCCGCTCAAGGCGACAGAATGCAAGCATCAAAAAGTAGCATGAATGCATGAGCACCTGTGCTCGCGGAACCCAACACGCGGAACCCAACACCCATACCTTTTCACGGAGGCATCTGCAAATAACAGATAAGTCTGAGTCCTTTACACTCCGGTTTGGCCATATTGTACCTCAGCTGAACGCTGCATTGTCGTAGTTGGTAGCAAGTGTAAGCCTGTGGCAAGGAAACTGAGCACATCGCAATACTCAATATCCTTTACTGCTTCCAAGGAACAGTGCTCCTCCAGTGTAGCCGCTGCTGGAGGAAGTTGCGGTCGAGCCACCAGCAGTGGTTGGTTCACTCGTAACTCTGCTACCTCATGGCAAGTTGCTGCAATTCGGGGGCCGTTCCATGCATTTCTCGAGGTCCAAGCTTGAGGTGGCGGAGCCGGAGCTTGGTGCTGCTGGCTTGTGTGGCATCTCACCAGCAGTTTCCAGCCTCCAGACGTTTCTGGTAAGCATCCTCCCTTTCTGTGTCACACTCCCCGTCGAGCGGAAACTGAGTCTTGCAGCTGCAACACGACAGCAGATTAACAGCCTCAGCTTCGCCTGCTACTCCTGCTACTCCTGCTACTCGCTTTGGGGTTCAGTGCAGCCAGGCGCCTCGGCACCACCTCGGACCGCAGCGCAGAGGCCTGTGCATGCTAAACTCGGTGCAGTGCCAGGGCAGGCCGGACTGTGTAGGCTTGTGGAGTGTCTCATGGGCACAGCCAGGCGCCTTGGTGCGGACCATGTTCTGCACCTTGACCAACGGAAGCGGCGAGCAAGTGCAAGTGCATGAGTCCGGAGTGCGACTATGATGTTGAGGTTCAAGCACGAAGGTCGTTTGTGCATTCGAACTTCTCCAAGAGAGATAGCCGCTGGACGAGGTCAAAGTATCGACCTGGAACGGTTTCCCAGACCACCGCAATGATAAACGGCTGGCCGAACAGCAGCCTTCCGACGTTTCTTGGAGGAGCTCGGGACTGCCATTTTTCAGCAGTTCCTCGATAAGAACCTCAAACGCAACAAGGACTGGGTACCGAATTGCATTTGCATAATTGTGGCTTCGGCAAATAAAACTGACCTTCTTGGATACTACCAGCAGCTTGCAGTCCATACCACACTGATACATTAGCCTTGGAGGCACGCCAGGGCGGCATACATGCGGCGCCATTTCTTCCCCTGACTTTCACAACGCCGGGCTCTCTGCATGCGCAGTTGCAGGCCGAAACATGTGGACAACAACAAACAGACGTCTCTTCCCACTAAGCACCTCTTGTGTATGGGATGTCCTGCCTGCGGCTCTGCGAGGCACTCTCGCAGATGCATCATGATCTCACGTCGTTCCTGTGCAAGCATGCTTCTTCCTGATGCTGAGACAAGGTCTGTGAAACCATGACGAGGTCGCACCACCATCAGCGACGACAACAGTTGTGCTCAACTGTTTGAACTAGTGTACGTGTGTGTACTTCGAAACTGTTGTGGATCATGCCTCTTCACCCACCTTCGTCGCCTCTACAACCAGCGTCAGCACGTCCTGAAACATAATCTCAGCTTGCTGCGGTGCAATGTCGGCAGATGACCAAGAGCCCATTAAGACTCCGCGTGCACCCACATCAACGTCCGATACTGGGAATCGCGAAAGGCGGCCTTGGGTACTTCGATGACCTCAGCGATGTTGCAACAGTTAGACATGGCAGTTCCACGCATGTTTTCCGCACAGCTTGCACCGCAAAATGACTGCATGATGTGAAAAACTTGCATGATCCATGTTCTCGAGTTCCCTATGGGAAGCCACCTGTGTTTCTGGGCCCGGTGGCATTTGACTCTGTGGCCCGCTTCAAATCTGCCTCCCAACGCCCCCACGAGCACATCACGAGGATCAGAAAAAGACCGTCCGAGCGAGCCCGCCTGCAAGGGGGTCTGATTGTTTCCACCCGTGAATCTTTGCAAGAAGGCCGGAGCCATCGGCGGGCGGCCTGGCATCTGAATTCACGCCCAGCCCAAAACTGGTTTTGGCAGATTTACTTCCCAACCAGCAAATGCGCCTTGCAGCCCAGGAATGAAGAGCAAATGGCACGGTTCTGCCAATGTACTGTCAGCTTGGAGCCAACCATCCGTAAACACAAGCTAATGCTGATGCTCGGAATGTTGCAACCACTACGCAGCATGCAACTAGGCCGACTCCCGCCAGAAGGCAAGCCGAAAAAATGTTGTTCGGAGGTCCAACAAATTATGTGTCGCATCACACGTCAATACATGCTTTTGCGAGGAATGCAACGTCATTCTTCATGAAAACATTACAAATCAATACAACGAACGTTAAACCCTAAAACTTACCAAGCCCGAAACCCCAAACAAACCTCCCCCTACAACCCTTGACCGCCGATTCGTCGTCGGGCCTCCTTCACTTTCAAAGCAAATACAGTAGTTTTTCAAAGCTGTATTGCTTTTCTGCACAAGGAAAAGCGAAGCATTCTCTTTTTTCGGAAAAGCCCAACGACAAACATGAAAGTTTTCAAGTACAACAACTTTAAACGATCTTTCTTTCAAACAAGGCGACATAAAAAGCAAAGGCGTCTGTTCTGCATAGGCTTGCACTGCTCTAGCACTAGACTCGCTCTCTATCACTGTTCGCATCTGTTGGGCTATGCGGCGGGTAGTCGAGGCGGCTGCATTTCGAGCATCTGAACAGGAGGAGAGGCAAGAAGGCTAAAAACTGAAATGTGAAAAGGACCTTTGCTGTGACGCAGGAGTGGAACCTGCAACCTTAGGTTCGGGTTCGAGTTTAAACTAGTTACAACTGTTGGCAACAATGGTTGTAACTTTGTTAACTCCAACTCTCTGGCCAATGACAAAAAATGGCAGACAGGGCCTCCACATTTCCACCCAACCTCCATCTGAAGTTCACATTCGGTTGAACAAAGTTCAACCCCGACCTCCAACGCCCCCTGTAAACGCAGACAACCGACAAACTCGAGCCAATGCATTCCACCATTTTGCGAACAGCATGACAGTTGTGTCGGACAACAAGACCGTGCATTGCGATTGCAGTGCGGTCAGCGAGGCGTGGCGCATGTATCCTTTGCTGGAAGAACCGTCTGCGCTGTAGGCTGAACCTCAACTCCGACAAGCAGGCTCCACAACCGACATTACAAAACGACAGCCCTTTGTGTACTGCTTTGGCGCCCACAACCATGCTGAGCACTGACTCATTTTGAGCATTCGCTCCGCACTTTCAGCCGGTCGTGTGAAGAAAAAAATGGACATCGTCTCGGAAAAATTGAAACGACTCTTAAGTAACCTGCAGCCCGCAATCGAAGATCAACATCGACTTCACAGTTGCGTCAGTCTCTGAATTGGAGAGATTGTTCAGTCTCGAGTTCTTGGCTGGCTGCAGCAAAACAGCAACGGCAAAAACAGAGTCTAGTGTTTGGATGTTGCTTCGGAGTACACAGCAACTCCCTCCATTTGCACATCTTGCAAATCTTGCCGGATGCGACCCCTCCGGTGGCAACTCATTTTAAAAGACCTATTTGGCGCGCACGCAGTGCGTGCGCGCGTGTCGGTCGATGCAACTGCGCCCCAGAGGGCAAGTACTCTGCCACTAAATCGGTGGTAGCCTTCTAGTGATTCTCTGCACATTCGCGACAAGCTAGAGTTGAAAAGCACATTACTCTGCCACCTGAGGGTCCCTAGGAAACCGCAGGGAGGAAACCTGTGGGAAACTGGGAAACCGTGAGGAAACCACAGGAGTTGTTCCGGACCTTTGTTTTGGAGAGCACTTACGCAGCCGGCAAGAATGCCTTCAAAACGGAAGCCTTAGTTGCTGTTTACCGATTTATGTCTGTAGGTCTCACGCAAAAACTTCTGTCGGCCTCTGTACATATTCTTCCATACTGTATACAGAAATGACAGTGAAGGATGAGCTTAGCCAAAGTTCCCTAATGCATGTGAGTCTCCAAAAAAAATAAGGGCCAAAATAAGCTTAGCGCCGGGCGCGGCGTTTCGCGTGGTAAGTAATTTTCAATTAAAAAGAAAGCGTGCGCCGCCAGCGAAAAAACAACGCTTTTCATTGATTGCTTTCGAACCTCACTCAAAGCCGCCAAAACACTCTCTAAGCTTGTGAAAACAGGAAAGCTGCCTTTCAAAGCTTAAAAAGCCTTCAAAAACTTTTTGCAAGTCCTCAAACCTTCTCAAACCAAGCCAGACAGTGTCCTCAGCTCTCTTTCACTCCAAAGTGAGCACGTCCACCATTTCGCCTGCCACCTCTCGCTGTACACGAGGTGGGGCAAGGCTTACGAAAGGCTTCTTGAAAGCAGACATGTCTTTCCAAGTGACTCCGCCAGTGTCTCTTTGAGACTTACGTAGCTGGCCACACGCGGAAAACATGTCTTGTCCGCCAAACCAGTGTTTCAGCTGGAACAGACGAACGTGAAAACACATGATCTGCTCCCTGGGAGGCCCTTTCTCGTCTGAAGAGCCAACTGTGTTGAAGGAGCGTTTGCCAACCAGTTTCCGGAAGGCACCGAAAAACCCATCAACCTTTTGGGTGCCTCCAACCCTTTCTTGCTCTTCAATTCTGGGTGTGAGGTTTGTGTTTGACACAAGTGTGAGACAGACGCAGATCACCATCCACCAAGCTGCCATGGAGCAGAGGGCTTTTCAAAGTTCTGTAGGCCTTAGCCCCGTCGGTGTGGCAAAGAGCCAAATCCGAGCACAGGTTCATCAGAGTCCGAGAGTAGAGCAGAGCGCATTTCCTCCAAGGAAAGTGGCCCTCCTCCACCCTGGCCTGCCTGAGTGATCCTGTAGTCGAGTCTGTACAGCAACACCAAACTCGAACCGCGCCTCATTGCAGCAATGAACCTCAACCAAATGATTCCGTGAGCTTTTCCAATGGAGCGAAACGCCACTTCATCAATTTCCACGTCCATTCTACCACCAACCGGCAAGCTATCGTTGAGCTACTCGATCAGCTACGTGAAAAACAAATCGAATGGCCCGACTGTCCGCACCCAAGATCAAGTTTGTTCAAGTGGGTATCACACCGT